AGCCTCTACAGAGAGGAGAGGTTGCATCAACTCAGGGAGGGTAGAACTAGGATTACTCAGAGCAAGGAACCGAATTCCCGGAAAAAAAGCTCCACTGGGAAGAAATCATATGAATGCCTTGAATGTGAGAAGAGCTTCCGCTCTGCAAGTGACCTCACTTGCCATAATAGGACCCATACAGGGGAAAAGCCATATCACTGCATGGAGTGTGGAAAGAGCTTCAGTAATAAAAGTCAACTTAAGTCACACGAGAAGATCCACACGGGAGAAAAACCATTTCAATGCATGGAGTGTGGAAAGAGCTTCCGTCGCTCTGAACACCTTACTGACCATCACAGAATCCACACAGGGGAGAAACCCTTTCAATGCCTGGAGTGCAGAAAGAGCTTCAGTCAAAAAGTTCATCTTAAGTCACACGAGAGGATCCACATGGGAGAAAAATCCTTTCAATGCCTGGAGTGTGGAAAGAGCTTCCATACATCCAACATCTTAACGTCCCATCAAAGTATCCACAGAGGAGGGAAACCAAATCAATGCACCGAGTGTGGGAAGTGCTTCAGTCAAAAAAGTAACCTTAATACCCATAAAAGAATCCACACAGGTGAAAAGCCCTATAAGTGCACCGAGTGTGACAAATGCTTCACCAATTCGGGGGGCCTCACTTGCCACAAAAGGCTCCATTCTGGGGAGAAACCATATAAATGCTTGGAGTGTGGAAAAACCTTTAGCAACAGCTCTTCTCTAACCATACATAATAGGATGCATAAAGGGGAAAAGCCTTATAAATGCCTGGAGTGTGGAAGGAGCTTCAGTAAAAATGGTCAACTTAAGTCACACGAGAGGATCCACACGGGAGAAAAACCATTTCAATGCATGGAGTGTGGAAAGAGCTTCCGTCGCTCTGAATACCTTACTGAGCATCACAGAATCCACACAGGGGAGAAACCCTTTGAATGCCTGGAGTGCAGAAAGAGCTTCAGTCAAAAAGGTCATCTTAAGTCACACGAGTGGATCCACAAGGGAGAAAAACCCTTTCAATGCATGGAGTGTGGAAAGAGCTTCCGTGCAAAAAGTAGCTATCTCATACATAGCAGAATCCACACGGGGGAGAAACCCTTTCAGTGCTTGCAATGTGGAAAGCGCTTTTCCCGTTCTGATAGCTTTCATGCCCACAAACGGTCCCACACAGGGGAGAAACCGTAGAAATGCCTGGAGTGTGGAAAGAGCTTCCGTACATCCAGCATCTTAACTTCCCATCTAGTATGCCCACAGGAGGGAAACCAAATCAATGCACCGAGCGTGGGAAGTGCTTCAGTCAAAAAAGTCACCTTAATACCCATAAAAGAATCCACACAGGCGAAAAGCCCTATAAGTGCACCATGTGTGACAAATGTTTCACCCATTCGTGGGGCCTCACTTGCCACAAAAGGCTCCATACTGGGGAGAAACCATATGAATGTTGCATGTGTGGAAAGAGCTTCAGTGCAAAACAAAGCTGTGATGTACATAGCAGAATCCACACGGGGAGAAACCCCATGAATGCTTGGAGTATGGAAAAAGTTTCAGCAGAAGCAGCAATTTAAGCTTACATAATAGGATCCATACAGGGAAGAGCCATATCATTGCAAGATGTGCAGAAAGAGCTTCACAGAAAAAGGCAATTTCAACTTACATAAGAGGATCCTCACCGGAGAGAAGCAGTATAAATATGCAGAGTGTGAAAAATGCTTCAGGATCTCCGATGCCCTTACCTTCCCATAAGAGGATTCACACAGCCTAGAGTGTGGAAAATGTTACAATGATAGTGGCAGTCTTACCTCCTAAAATAGAATCCACACAGTGGAGAAA